CTTGCTATAGCTAAATCGAGGCACTTGTAATATGATGTTGTCCCATCATCAATCCATTTGTTCTATATTTCTGGCTTCTTGCTAAAGTTTTTGTACACTTAGATACATTTTCTTTAGAAGCACTCTCAGGTTATGAACCCATCTTTTATTCAGTACATCTAAAAAAAACAAACAAAAAAAAAGTATCCAAATTAGCTATTCTCTTTGTTCCTAGGACTCAAAGTGATGGAGATAAAACTGGTGTCATGTGATAGAGCTTGTGTATTGAACTGAAACGACTAGTGTTTAATCTGCCTGCCTTCTCAACAGGAGTATTTTAGATCGTGCTTATGGCATGCTGTTCCAACAATCCTGGCTTGTCAGTTGATCTCTGTATCAGCAGTGATGCTGGACAACTGTAACTTCTAAGAGCCAGAATGAAAAAAGTTCAATCTGAAGAAAAATAAATAAATAAACTAGCAGCACCAAGAAGAACGAGATGGTCCTTTAGCAAATGCCTCATGGAAGTAGTAACGAACTCAGTATCTGTGCCATATAACATGATTTGGTCCTCGTTACCTTTGCATACACAGTCTGCTGCACTATTTGTTGGAATATTCAGTGGTTTTTGCTTTCTGCTCTTGTCAGATTGCACTCTGTGGCAGCAAAGGAGACAAAGTTTAAATGCAAGTAAAAAACTAATATGTCTGGACTAAAGTTCAGTTCCATCCACCCTAACTTGTATCATAAGTATTAAAGTATCAGTTGGAATAATTTTTAGTCTTGTTTACGTGAAACAAAAATTGAGCCCAGCGATAATTTGTTTGGGTAAACGGCAGTTGAGGTCACCAGAGTTTACCTGGCGGCTCAGCTGATACCCTTCTACACCTCAAATAGAGTGTTAGGTTCTTTAACCCCACGCAGCCTGCCCGCAGTTACAGCTACTGCAAGCCACTTTGCAACCTAACTAAACCAGAGACATCTCTGCTGCAGCGTCACTACTGCAGATGGAAATAACAGCCTTCTTTTGACTGAACGGGTCCTGACTAAAACACGAGAGCAAAAGCAGCTGTGCAAATTAGTCTGACTGGAAAAGCTAGCTTCAGTGACTATGCTCATCCTGCTGCTTGTCTTGTTCCAATTAAGTGTGCTCACTGGCCAAGGCCGCGCCATACGATTTACATCTCCACTGATTACTCAGTAGTTCCTGTAGAGGATCAGGTCACATGTTTCCACCATACTGTGAAGCACTTTAGGTAAAAGGTTAGACAGCTAGTTATAATTCTGCTGAACTTTATATTTGAGCTGCAAAGCAAGTCAAAATGTTAAATTCTTTAAATGTTCTTTTTGTCTTTGTTTATTAAAGTGGTCATGGTATGTCACATACTGTACGCCACATCAAAGAAAAGCGATTTGGAACAATTAGAACAATTATTAAAACGGTTAAAAGCTTCCACTGTATGACTGCCATGCACATGGTAATATCAGTGATCCCACTCTGAGGGCAGGGCCCATCCACCCACTGAGTGAGTGACGGAGGGCAAACCCCATGTGTCGCAGGGGGCTGTCAGGTCCACGGGTAAATGTGGCTGGAATAGGCGCCACTGAGTGCAGCTGTCACGACAGAAATACAGTAGCAAAACAGTGGGGTGAAAGAGGAAACCCTCTGGCTTCTGTACGGAGCTGACTGCACCACAGAGGGGGGGGGCAATGTGAGAAGAATGAGAAAGACAGAGGGAGCTGAGAGGAAATCAGGCGAGTGAAGGAAAATTAAAATGTTAGAGAATAAAGCAAGCAGCAAAGGAAAACGCTGGAGGCTGAAGTCTTTGGCTGTGCCGTTTTCTCATAAGGCTCTTGTGGGGGTAAAATACACAGCAGAGAAGTCTAGTTAGTTTCAGCCATCTTGCTTCACTTAAATGGTCCGGCTAACATTCCAGCTTTGTGATACGATTTAAGGTGATTCAAGTGCATTTAAAACTAATGTGTATACAACCTGACAAGAAAACAAGGATTATATTTTTATAGTCCACAGTTTGGTCTGAGCTTCATTATGGTGATACTGTAAATTAGCATGCTTGCACATCCAACTTAAAGCTTTTTGATCCGGTGTAACACAGTATTGTGATTTTAATCACAGTTTTTTTTCTAAACTGCATTGAAATAGATTTCTATAAGTTTTAGACATACTGCACCATAAGACACTTTAGGGGATCAAAACTTTCAGTATTTGAAGCGAGCAGGAGCAGAAAATTCTAGCAGAAGCCTCTCAATAGTATCACCATTATACACCATCACCAGCTGCTTCTTATACAAACAAATCACAGCAACATTTCTGCACATCTGTAGTTGTTTCACTCTAAAACTCAAAATAGTAATCCCAAGATAACTATAGTATATACTCGCCCAGCTGTGTTTGTCTTTAATTTTCTTTCTTGTGATTAATGACTTCTGTCACTCATAGTTTGAATGAGCATTTCTCAAGGAAGCAGCAACCACGCTGAATATACACAATCACTATATGACTGCAAACTACAGATAAAAAAAAAACATGGTTAAACTCATGACACTGCATACTTTTTTAATGTAACAGTTAATGTAAAATTGAAGAGCTAAAAAAAAAAAAATTAAAAAAAAGCCATCAAGATACATCCACTACTTTATTATCCTAAAACGCTTGGATGCCCGCACCTATTGTAGGAAAAACAAAACACGACCCTCACAGTTCTACACAACTGTCCACAGTGTTACATTTAGCCTTCCTCTGGTCGTATTAGGGATGACAAAATCCTGGCAATTCCCTTCAGCTCTGTTAAAATGTGTCCTCATGTCACTCCACTCTCACTTTAAAGTCTGTTCTGTCTCTCTCACGCAAACACACCACACATGTCTTAGCCCCATTAGCTTGATGAGGCGCATATCTATCAGGTTAATTAGTGGATGGGATTAGAGTGTGATGAGAGGCATGGCTTAGGGAGAGGGGAGGGAGCATGGAGTAGCATCTGGATGCTGGGATTGCAAAAATACAAACAAGCTGCAATTAAAACTGTCTTTTTTGTATTAAAATTAGGTGTTTTAATACAACGGATGTTTCTAAAGTATGGAAACATCCATCCCTTCCTACATGTGGGCGAACGTAGACACGCAGGAAGTCAGTGGAGCGAGTGTGTGTTTAGAAAGCCAAGGTCATGGAAGTTTGAGCCTGCAACTATTTGCTGGAAATTGGATTCAGCATGAATGTGCGTGCTGTGAATATGGGCCGTTTCTTGAAGTGAACGAGGCCGTTTGTGTTTTGATCAGATCTGGGGTCGATATTAAATGTTTGATAAATGAATTTCTTGCGAGAAGTAACTGCTAACCAAGCTCAGCAATGCTAAAAAATAAATAAACCACCTCATTAGCATTACCTCCTGGCTGTGCTTTCAACTCGAAATGAAAATCACGTTTCAAATGGGTTTGTTTTTTATTTTTTTCACGTTTCAAATGTTGACTTCCCGCAACAAATTAAGATGTTTTACTCTAATCGTTGCTTCTGGAAAAAAATGTTTTGTTCACTCAAAAAACATTTTTATTGTTGACACATGTTTTTTAATCCTTTTTTTTTTTTTTAAGCATTAATCCCATGTGCTACACCTTCGTGCCTCTTAGCATTTCATATCCAAAAATTGCTCTTGCCTGCAGAGTGGAGCAGAAGCACAAGTTAGTGGTTCTACTTCCAGTAAACACAGGTCCAAAAATGCAGCAGGAGCTGGAGTTTAATGCTACATTATTAGATATGTGGAAATCTCTCAGTGCTCTGTACAGGTACAAGCTCTGAACTAGTGTTCTTCTTTTCAAACATCTTTGTTAACATCCCTCCTTTGGAATGCTCAAAAGAAATAAAACTCATCAGCGGTCTCTGTTTTAGTGGAGGCTCAACATGTTATGAATACAATCAGAGGATGAAACCTCTGAAACTGAATTAATATGAACAGAAACTACTGGCAGTGTAAATGAGTGGGCTCTTGACATGTTATATTTGTTATGTTACAAAAATATTGAACCCCAGTGTGGGGAGTTGAAAGCTGCTTGCTCAACTTGGCTGACACAGACATGCACAGGCTGTATAATATATGGGTATAGTTTCCTGGTCTAAAAGGTGAAGCCAAGTTAATGTGCTTTAAATCTGCATTGTTTTTAATGGCCACCAAGACGCAAAATCTGTGGTTTCAGTCCGATAGCAGTCTGTGAGTCCTCTACTGGGCCATGAGCTCAGTCAAAATTTTAATGGCTTTATGGGCCTTTGGGTAATAATTATTAACTGAAAGTCAGTAGAATGTGCAGTTCGATCATCATTCCTTCTTTACACATGGATTCAAAACAATAAGATTAAGTAAAAAGTCATCTGAGGCTTCAAAACAATAATTCAAAAACAAGTGTCTGCCTATATCCTCTAAGGACGATAGTCAAAATGCTAAATTGGAAATGTCCATCTTTTATATACAGTATAGAGACAGGCTAGTTATTGGTCAGCCTGATTAGAGGGGCTGATATTCAGAACATTTCAAATCACTGGTGTTATTTTGAAATCATGAAAAAAAAGGATCATGGTGGCTAAACCTATGCAGCCTGCAAAAGAGAAAAGGTATGCTAGCAGCTAATTTAGCAGGCTGCTAATGACCATGTGACGCTCTCATGCCATCACATCTGTTACTATTCTTTGTTTTGATTTCTTTAAGGGAAATCCACATGTAAAATGCAATGTGAAAACAAATCTACAGAAGCGTAGCTCTCAGTACAGAGAGAACACAAGAAATATGACTTAGCCATTTCTCCAAATAACGACAGCATGCAGACGCCAATATATCGTCATGTTTGCCCATCTTCAGGAATAACAGCACCAAGTGTAAATGCAGATCTGCTCTAAATAAAAGCTATAGCTGAATCCTGTATCAGGATAAACTATATAGTTTGTGCATGCATAATTTAGATATTCAGTTATCATGTGGTGGAGCTAGAAAGCATGCATGCTCAGGAGGTCTCACCTGTGTCCTGCGAATTAAGCACCTCCAGTGCATGCATCATGGCACTGGCAAATACGTTTGCATCCTCCTTGCTACCAAAGTTGAGGCCGTAGACTTGTCGGGCATCACGCCACTGGTGGAAGGTCTGTGTGGCCTGGTTGTACTTCAGCCCCTTGGGAATGGCACAGTTTATCACCACCTGCAGACATCCGTGAATCAGAAGAGAGAGGAAACAGAGACAAGACAGGAGACGTTTATGACTTCAAGTCTGAAGGATCATAATAATAATAAAATAAAATATCTCCAATTAAGACACAATGTCAACCTTGTAACACTGTCGCCTGTTATGTTGTTTAAGGTCACTTTTACTTCCTCGTAAGTAGACTTTATGATCCCCTCACTCTGTGTCTAATTTAAGGCACTTTAAGTGTTCACATCTGAGGTTTTTACTGTTCGGGGCACACAGCCAAACAGTAATGCCTCAAGGTACTCCCAGTTAAATAAGACCAATAGGGAGGGGTCCCAAACCATTTTCCCTAGAACCTAAAGGAACTGTCTGAACATTTTCCTTTTTCTACTCACATGCAAAGTCAAAAAGTATTTTTAGAAAAATCACAAACTTTTGAAGCAACAAGGGCAAATTACTCACATTTGACTTGTGTATTGGCTCATATCACAGTACAAACATATTCAGTTCCATCATCAGAGTGCCTACACAGCTGAAGCCTAAAGTATCCATGTGGTCCATATGGATAGTGTGTGTATTTTTAAAACATTATAGTTAGGATTCTGTTTAGGCTTGAAGTCAGGGATATGACTTTAGTGAGTGATTCTATTTTATTCGTTAAGTTTTTAAAAAATAGATATATATTATTTATCATTATTATTTTAGCAATATTTCATTCACTGGAGCCTGACCATCAGATACTGGCATTTTAAGACAGACACTTGGCAATTTTAAAAACCACATATGGTGAATGATTATTCTTTCAGACCATAAACCATATGGTCTATAGATACAACAGTGTCCAAATATGACCTTTTGTGGCTCAAAAGCAGCCAAAACTTTAATATCATGGCTTCAGTTTGCACAGTTGAGAAACAAGTGGTGATGTCACAATGGATGGCAGCATTCTCCAAGTTACCTTTAATTTCAGTCATCACGAGGAGAAAGAATCATGAGTCCAATACGATTCCTACTTCATCCTAAAAATAACATTACAATACTGTTTTCCCCCCTAACAGCTATGCTTCTGTGGCCATCCACAAGCTCCAACACATCCAGAACTCTGCTGCTCGTATTATCACCAGGACCCCTTCCATCCATCACATCACTCCTGTCCTGCAGCAGCTTCACTGGCTCCCGGTCAAATATTGCATCAATTTCAAAATACTCTTGTACACATTTAAGGCTATTCATCATCTCTCCCCTCCATATCTCTGTGATCTGGTTCAGATCACCATCCCATCTCGGTGTCTCAGATCTTCTTCTTCTTTCTCTCTCTGTCCCCTCTCCCCGTCTCGCCACCATGGGGAGCAGGGCTTTCAGCTGCTCTGCTCCTCGACTCTGGAATTCCCTACCTCCTGATTTAAAAAAAATATATATATCATTTCCTTCTCTCTCTTTAAGTCCAGACTCAAAACTCACTTGTTCAAAATAGCTTATCCCGCATAACCTCTACACTCTATCTTAAATTTGTTTTTATGTGTTATGCTTTTATGATTGTGTAAATTGCTTGCTTTTATTATTCTGCTGTGTACAGTGTCCTTGAGTGTTCTGAAAGGCACTTTCAAATAAAATTTATTAATATTATTATCATTATCATCATCATTACGTCCCTCTCTATAGTGTCTTTGCTATGTCCGTCTTTTACAGTTACTGTATTTAAGATTTCTGAACCAAACAAGCTTCTAAAACCTTTGAGAAGGCTATTAAGGCTTATTAGTATACATTATTTGCAGTAGATTTATTGGATTGTTAGCATGCCAACTTGCCTTCTCTGCTGTTAAAGTCCAACCTCTTTTTCCCCCCACAATGAAAGCATTCCTATTTGAAGCATCATAATCAGCATTATCAGTGAATTCACACACACACACACGCTTCATTTTGTTACAGTTCATCTGATATAGCGGATATACCCTGAAAAGATGTGTAATGCGGTTTAATCTCATAATCGCTGTGCTATCTCTCGTCCAAACTAATAAGGAGAATAAATTCAAAACATTCCCCAACAGGGACCCAGCAGCTTATCACACAGGGCTTGGTGGTGTGTTTTGATTTCTGCGGCATCCTGATTTAAATCAAGGATTACTGTACTGTACTGACACTAGGCTTAAAGGTAATATTGCAAAATACTTCAGAAGACGATACTGCTACTCTGGTCAAAAAACAGCTCTATGAGTGCTAATACCTGTAATCAATCTGCTCATTTATAAAGAAACAAGGTTTAGCACCAGAGCAGACGTTTATTTGACTATGGAAATGGTCTGTTGTCGATTTCTGAGTTTTTGCTAATGTGTCTCTGGTAGGCAGGAAAGGATTCCCATATTTGCTTTGTATTGTTGATGGACTGGATAAGATGACAAGCAGCAAATGTGAGGAGGAACTGTGTAACTGCAAATGTTTTGTTGTGGATGGCAGTGAAACAAATAGAGGAAATGGTAAGATAGGCAGTGCCACACAGTGAGAAATCAGGCTGAAGCCCAAGTGTGAAGCGCCAACACAAACACAGCCAGTCCAGCCTCTGACTCGTCCATGTTTTTACAGACCTCATAACTGAGGATGCGCACACTCCAGCCAGTCATTTTTAGCACGTCTGTATTATGAATATGAAACATGTGTTCCCTGATATTAATGAAATCCACTGTCTAAATGCTCCAATTTGCTTTATTAGATATGTTAAAATTCCAAATGGTTACCAGATCGGAGGTTGGAGGAATGGGAAGCTGCCATAAGCATTGTTCACTAGCCGAGTTTTTATACACAGATTTTGTGGCATTCCAGAAGAAAGATAACCAACACCAAAGGTTTAGTGCAATTTAGTGCGAATGTGCAATAAATGCACATGCAGAGCACACTGACAGCTGTTTGCAAAGGTTTGCGCAATAAACACAATTCTGAACTCATACATTCAGCTCATCCCTCTCACACATTGCATTTCCTGCAGGAATGTTTGCCTTTTCACAATTCCACAGATTTGCCCCAACTTTTGCATATAACTGTACCCATGGTGCCTCAGCTCTGATTGGGATGCTTTCATCTAAACTGAGGATTATTGTCAGCTTCGGGATTATTGCTCTGAAGCTATGAGCCATTTGAGCTAATCTGAGTTTCTTTCTGCTCAAATGTCCTCACCAGGACTCTGCTGTGTAGGACTAAATCATTATGTGTTCATACACGCATGGCTTGCTGTAATAAATATATGATGGTTACTTATTCTTACAAATAAAAGCTAACCAGGCAGCACGATGTGCTGACATGCACAGAAAAAAGAGGAACAAGATGGTCAAGAAGAAAACAGTTGAAGACTCAGAATACAGGTTCAGTGGAAAGTCGAAAAATATTATGGCAAAGTGCAAGTAACTCAAGGTCATTTCCATCCTTTTCTGTTGTTGTCACTGAATAAAGAAACCATGTCATTCACGTGTGAATCTACTGAAACACCCAGTGGGTCACAGCATTTGGCTGAACCTGGTTCTGCAGGAGGTTTCTTCCTGTTAAAAGACAGTTTTTCCTTTCTACTGTCAACCATGTGCTTATTCATACGGCTCATGTAATTGTTGGGATTTTCTCTGTATTATTTAGTCTTTACCTACAACATACAATAAAATAAAAGGCAACTTCAGGCAGCAGTTGTTGAGATTTGGCACTGTATAAATAAAATTAAACTGAACAGACCAGTAAAGACAGCATTATAAAGTATAACTCAAATTTGAGCACTCAAGTAACTGATGCAGTTTTTTTCCACTGAGAAAATTTACGTAAAACTACAAAATAACTACTTAACACTTTTGATTAATAATAACTAAAGTAATTGTAAAATACTATCACATAATAAAACTTAAATTATTTCTACGTGTGACGTTGCATCTTGAATTGAGATTTTTAAACCAGCCACATTTTTCCACCATGTAAGCACATCAGTAATTCATATCCATTGTTTGCTCTTTGTGACACACTGATTCAAACTATCAAGTGTTCTAGTGACACTTGATGGAGTCATTCATTTGCACATTGCACATCACACCTTCCCTGCTAGGATCTTGTTTTTTGGTAGTCTGCTGCAGAAATTACATCACAACGTGATTCTTTTTTAATATGTATAAATATTTATACTAGTATCATTGCAGATGATATGATACAGCACTACAATCTTCAAAACTAAAAGGTATATTTGTAAAAGGGCTCCAAACAACTACTGGCACACAAATCAACATGAATACTACTAATGCTGGAATGTCCCAGGGCAGGACTGGTCCAGCGGATGGACAGTTCTGTCTTAATAAGGATCTGCTGCCAGAGGTCAAAAAAATGTAATATCAGCACTATATCACTAACGCAAATGTGATAATTGTGTCATTGTTTTTGTATGCTTATAGTCACAGACCATTTCTCCTTTTCAAATCTATATATACACTGTGATAGTAACAGCCCCGTCTCATCCACTGACCTGATGATCTTGGATCTTGCGTCCCACTACACGGAAGGCGTTGTTGCCCGTGTGGTGGTAAATGTGGACTCTGCTGAAGCCTGTAGAGCCACCGGCTGGGACCCACTTCTTATTGGCATCGTCATACACCATGACAGCAGCTCGCGCCTGGCAGATGCTCTGTTCACTGCAGGGACAAGAGACATAGAAAGGTTTATTCTACCATTTTAGAAATCCAATCTTTTTCAATCTTCCTTTCTTCTTTGAAGCAAGTTTTGTGAAGTGACCAAGTGCTTGGGACTGCAAATACAAAGATGACCCCACAGGTCAAGCAAGAAACTGAGAGCAGAGCACACAACACCAAAAACAGACTGTAAAATGAAATTAACTAGTGAATGTTTCATTGGCTTGTGGGGATAGGTTAATTGGATAATTCAAATTGCCACTAGGTGTGAATGTGCGAGTGAATCTGAGTGTGAATGGTTGTCTGTCCCTATGTGTTAGCCCTGCGACAGACTGGCGACCTGTCCAGGGTGTACCCCGCCTCTCGCCCTATGACAGCTGGGATAGGCTCCAGCACCCCCCGCGACCCTGAAAAGGATAAGCGGTAGCGAATGGATGGATGGATGTTTCATTGGCTCCACAGCTCACCAATAAACTTCACCACTTCAAGCCTAGCTGTAATCCCAGCAGATCAGCTGATGGCTCAGCCGGTACACTTCCACACAACATCTCATATTGTGAATGTTATTTCAGTTTTAGTCTGTGCACAACTGATTCTGCCTCTGCAAGCTGCCTGGCAACCCGCTCCCAACTCAGCTCTGACTTTTATACAATGATGGACCTAATCAGTGTCATATCTGCTGTCATTGTTGCTTGCAGTCCTAACTAAACTAACTTTGTTGTATTAATAGTTTGGTGTGTGGGGGTGTGTGTTTGTGCGTGTGTCTTCTCAGTAATCATTTTCTCCTTAATTGCCCCTATGTGTTACATATCTCACCGTCTATCCCTTTTTTGCTGCCTAGCCTGACCTGTATCCACAATGTAAGTTTGTATATTGTATGTATTGTATGTATGGTCGACTAGGTGTGTCATTTCAGCTGCAGGCAACTGCAACCGACAAATACAGCTTATCCGTATCCTTATTTATTTATTTTTAAAATCGGTGTTTAACATGGTTCGTACTCCTCCATAATCAAACATAGCAGTCTAATATCAGTTTAATCAAACATACCAATTCTCAAAGGCAGCAAGCAAATGCCTTCATTAGTGTTACTGATCAGTATTAACTAAATTCCCATGAACTTGGTCTGCAGTGCACAGACTAAAAGTCCACAGCCCTTCAGATGCCTCCAAGCTCCTCAGTGACACATTAGTAATCATCCATCTAGAGATTCTCTTAAACCAGCAAACAGCAAACCCAGACAGTATCCTACTGGTTGTCAAACTATTTCTTTATTATATACTGAGGTGTCAAAACTCGTCATTAAGGGTACAGGGGAGGAGATCAAATGTCCTCTTTACAGGGGAAAGAGTTAAAGACTGACAGTGAGGGGAGACTGCACATTTGAAAGAAAAAAAAAAAAACTGCCTCCAGTCTTTCCTGCTGCGATGGCTACATCTGCTGCCACACAGCTGATTTAAGGCCTGGAAACTCTGCTGTGCTCACTTTTCACTGTAGCTATGCAGCTTTGGAATTGCACTTTCTGTAGTGGACACATGAACCTGCCTGCAAAATCACTCCAGAGGCTATCATGTTGAAATGCCCAAATTCGGCTATGAAATGTGCCTTTTTCAGCCTGATATTAAAAAAAAAAAAAAAACTGTTTTTGCCTCTATGGACAGTTTCCACCTACATAATAATGGTACTGTGGTTTTGTTTTACATCTCATCAATCTGGTTTTACTTGAGGCTTAAAGTTAAGAGCTGTGGAGGCTTCTACTGACAAGTGTGTCTGCACAGTCAGATGTAGAGACAGCGGTCATTCAGGCCTCAGCACTGCTAAGTGTAGGTGCATTGGAATTGGACAGATTTTAAATGCAACTTGCCAACTAGGCTTGCTAACATCAGCTGAAACTTGGCTGCTTGCAAAACACACATGCTAGAGTGAGATGGAAAAATGATTTTCCTTTAGCACATCAAAAAGAAGTCTGTTATACAAGCTTCCATATAGCGTGGTGACATGTCCTGGTAATTAATAACCTAGGACGTAGTTTTGTATCTGCTCATATTCAAGGTTTGCTATAGATTATTTTGCATCCATGCAGTTCGGAAACACACAAGCTGTTAATATCATGTTTTTTTTCTTTTAAAGGTCAAATTTAAAAGCAGCACAAGCCTGCAGTCTTCACGTTAACTACCCTGCCTTATAAACGTCTATAAAACACCATCTCATTGGCTTGTTTGTTTGTATTCATTCATTCATTCATTCATATATATACACATATACACATATATATACACACACATATATATATATACACACATATATATACACACATATACATATATACATACATACATATACATACATATATATACATACATATATATACACATATATATATACACATATATACACATATATATACATATACATATACATATATATACATATATATACATATATATACATATATATACATATATATACATATACATATATACATATACATATATA